CCCTGAGCCTTTCGGAATTCCATATCCTTAAGCTGAATGATGTCGGCTGTCCTACTCCTGGCTGTCTGCCCGCTTTCTCAGGCGTGCTACGCTAGGCCAGTTACTGCTCTCTGCCCGCTTTCTCGGGCGTGCTATGCTCGGCTGGTCACTGCTCTCTGTCAAACTTCCCGCTTGCCAGGTTTTCCTGCCGTTGGCGTTTTCTCACCATCCTTGTGAACCTGGATCTCGAGGATCTGTTTACTGTAGTTTCAGGCAGGGGTCAGAAGGCATGTGTGTTCAATTTTAGCCCAGAGGATAATACTTCTTTATGTATTCTGTATACTAATCAGTTACATGTTGCAAATCTCTCAGTTTGTGGCTTTTTTTCTTTAATGTGTTTTTGATGAACAGAAGTTCTTAATTTAAACCAGCTGAATTATTAATCTGTTTGATGGTTAATGCTTTTTATGGCGAAAGAAATCTAGCCATACCCTCAGATAATGGAAATAATGTTCTGTGTTTTCTTCTGAAAGCTATATGGTATTATTTTCCATATTTAATCTGACAGGACTTTCATTTTGGGTATGCTATTAGATATTAATTTTATTTCTATCCATATGAATAACTAGCTTTCTTACCACGCAGTCTATTTTTCTCCCATGAATTTGTCATACCATCCCAAACTCGATGAATCCTTTTCCATAGTTTGTCAACCATTTTTACTTAATATTGTTCCCATATATGTATGAGTCTATTCTTGATATATGCTCTTTTTTACTCATATATTTATGACTTTCTGTAACTTTTTAATTAATATGTGTGATTAATATCTATTTGTAATTTTAAAAAAGATTTTACTTATTCTGCCTGTATATACACATGTAGGCCAGAAGAGGGCACCAGATCTCTTCATAGATGGTTATGAGCAACATGTGGTTGCTGGGAATTGAACTCAGGACCCCTGTAAGAGCAGCCAGTGCTCTTAACCTGAACCATCTCTCCAGCCCTTGGAAAATTCATTATCATTTGTGTGTGTGTGTGCAACTGTGAATACATGGATGTTCGTGTGAAGGCCAAGGCGATGTCCAATGTCTTCCTTTATCAATTTCTGCCTTACTTTTGAGACAGGATCTCTCACTGGGCCCAGAGATCTAGTTGAGTGACTTGTCAAGGGCCCCAGGGGTCCTCCTGCTTCGACTTTTCCAGCCATGGGATTCTAGGCGTGAGTCGCTGCACCTGGCTTTTTACACTGGGTGTTGGGAATTAAATCGACATCCTCATGCCTGCACAGCAACCGCCTTACCAACACAGCCATCTCCCCAGTCCCGCTTATTCTTTATTCTTCCTTCCTTCCTTCCTTCCTTCCTTCCTTCCTTCCTTCCTTCCTTCCTTTTCTTTTTTTTTTATTTTTTTTTTCAAGACAGGGTTTCTCTGTAACTTTGGAACCTATCCTGGAACTCAATCTGTAGACCAGGCTGGCCTTGAACTCACAGAGATCTGCCTGCCTTTGCCACCCGAGTGCTGGGATTAAAGGTGTGTGCCATGATGTCTGGCCTAAAAAATATTTTGTTGTTCTTTATTTTGTGGTGTGTGTGTGTGTGTGTGTGTGTGTGTGTGTGTGTGTTTGTGTGTGTGCGCATGCACGTGTGTGGGTCCCAGAGATTAAACTCAGGTCACTCAGGGCCTTTACCTTCTAGAACCATTTGGCAGGCTTTTTTTTTTTTAAAGTATACAGAATACAAATAAAAGTTTATTGTACAGATAAGGCTTTATATTTTATAGCTCACTAAAGCTAAAGAAAAAGGTGATTCTAAACTTCACCTTCACTTCCAACCATTAAAAAGACAGTCTCACTATGTTGCCTCCTTCACCTTCAGCCTCCCAAGTGACCGAAACCGCAGGGAACACTTCGCCCGCATCCCACTTGTCTTCAATTTTACTAAAGCTGCTCAAGCCCTGTCTGTCTGTCTGTCTGTCTGTCTTTCTCTTTCTTTCTTTTCTTTCTTTCCTTCCTTCCTTCCTTCCTTCCTTCTTTTTTTCTTTCTTCTTTCTTTCTTTTTGTTTTTTGTTTTTGTTTTGTTTTTCAAGACAGGGTTTCTCTGTGTAACAGCTCTGGCTGTCCTGGAACTCACTTCATAGACCAGACTGACCCCGAACTCACAGTGATTCGCCTGTCTCTGTCTCCCAAGTGCTGGGATTAATGGTGCCCCCATCACCACCTGGCTCAGACCATTCCTTATATCTATTTTCTCTAGATCCTTGGTTAGAAGTGGTTTATACTTGTCTGTGTCTTATCTTTCTAGATTAATCTCTCTAGAGATTTGTCTGAGTCTTATCAAAAAACCAAAAACAACTGTTAACCTACTGTCAAATGTTGAACTCACAGAGATTCTCCTGCCTCTGCCTCCTGAGTGCCACCAGCACACCTTTCTTTATCTTTTTGGCAGTGTTGGGGGTGCAATCTAGGGCTTCAAGCATGCTAGGCAAGTGCTCTACCAACAAGCAGCACCGCCAGCCTTGGTTCGTCCTATATCTTATTATGAACTTACATTGATTTGGTGGAACTTTGGATACCTGAAGACCTGCAGTGAGGGTATTTTCTCCCATAGAAGTTATACAGTGGTGTGTGGTTGTGTGTGTGCATGCAGGTTTGTGTTGTGTGTGTATGCAGGTGTGAGTGTATATGCAGGTGTGAATGTATGTGCAGGTGTATATGCTAGCAACTGTGTGTGTGTGCATGGGTATGTGTGTGTGTGTGTGTGTGTGTGTGCATGGGTGTGTGTGTGTGTGTGTGTGTGTGTGCATGGGTATGTGTGTGTGTGTGTGTGTGTGTGAGAGAGAGAGAGAGAGAGAGAGAGAGAAAGAGAGAGAGAGAGAGAGAGAATGTGCAAAGGTTCAGAAACACTGAACCTTGAATTTCAGTCTGGAGCTCCCAGATTTAGTTCCTCTGCTTCCCCTAGTTAAACACACGCGTCTCACATGGTGCTGGTATTGGCATTTGTTATCAGGCAATCCTGTCTTTCTTATCACTATATTTATCACTCATGATTGTTCAAAATAGAATAAAAATTAAAAATTAACTTTATTTGAGACTTAGGGCTTTATACAGGTATCCATATGCAGCCCAATTTGGCTCAGTTTGCCACCTTCCAAGCTCCCCCTCCTCCTCATTTTTTTCAGAGCACATTTGGACAAAAATACTTTTAAAAATTCTATTCATGAATTTCTTTTGTCACCACAAGCTGTATTTCCCACACTCATTGTTCCTCTCCTGTGATGCCCACACCTAAGGACAGCCTCTTGGGCCTTTCAGGCTGTCTTACAGGTAGCCCAGGGCGTTTGCACTTTCTAGTCACTTGGAACTTTCAGCTCTTCTAACACGTCACCTGCTTCTCCCTTTTCTTTCCAGTTCCAGCTGAAGGTCACCTGGAGAGAAAGGCCCTCTGTGACCCGTGGGAGTGGGCTTCCTCCATTTCCATTATGATGTTTATTTGCTGAACAGCATTTTGGACAACTTAGAAATTTTGTGGTTTTATTCACGTTTATCATCACCCCCACCCCACTGTGGTTCCACGAGAACAGGGCCCTATACTATTTTCCACACTGCTGGATATACCTAGGAAAATGAATAAAATACAGAGAAGGAAGCTGGGAGCAGGCCTGTAATCTCAACTGCTGGAGGGCTGGCTGAGGCAGGAAGATTGCTTGGGAAACAGAGCGAGTTCAGGGGCGGCCTGAGTAAGTAAGTTACTGAGCCCTTATATCAAACTTTCAGAAGCTGGGGCAATGACTCAGTGATTAATAACACCTGCTGTGTAGGCATGAGGGCCTGAGTTTGAATTCCCAGTATTCATGTAAACAAAAAGGATGCAAACGAAAAATACTTTAAAAATTAAATTGAAAATTTAAGAGCTAGATTATAGTTCAGGGAGTAGAACCCTTGCTTAGCACACTTGACACCTGGATTTGATTTCCAGCACCACAAAATGAACCATGACAAAAAATAAATAAAGGTAGGTATGGTGATGCACACGCTACAATCCCAGCACTCGAGAGGCTGAGGCAGGAGGATGAGGAAAGTAAGGCAAGCCTATACTACAAGTTTAAGGCTTGACTGTGTTATTAGACTCTGTCTTAATAAATGCAAAGCAATCACAAAATGGCTAGGCATGGGTCATGCCTGAAATCCCAGCCAACTTGGGAGGTTGAAGTAGGAGCATTGTCACAAGTTGAAGGCCAGCATAGGCTATACAGTGAGGCCTTGTCTCAATAAATAAATACATAAATGAAAAAAAAAACAAAAAATAACTACAAACACAGGGACAGCGGCATGCCAGTCACCCAGACACATGATAGTATAACCACCCCACCGAAACCTGTACTTACTGGGGTCACAAACTTGTTGGCTTCCCAGGCCCATAGAGGTGGGTCCTTGTAGACCTCCTTGATGGAGGTAGGAGCCCTGTAGGAGTCACTGTAGGTGCTGATGGGGGTCTTGGTCTTCCGGGAGAAGAGGAACATGGTGGAGTCTCAAGGATGCTGTAGTGGGCTCTGCCTATCAAGGACTCCTGATGGACATCAGTGACCACCCCTTCCCCGAGATAGCCCACACCTCCAGCCTGGAAGGTGCCCAGCTGCTGTGACCCCCTCCTTTTGGGGGACCTCTCAGTGTCCCTCCCCCTCAGCCTTCCTGCTTCTACTCCACCCAATTTCCTTTTAAGGATTGGCAGTGCCCATTGTGATATCACTTGCCTTGGCCTCATCCTTGCATAAGAGGCTTACTTTCCTCCCTATGCCAGCCCCTTCCTGTCTTGAACTCTTCAAAATCCTCCTTTCCCAAGAGTTCAGAAGGCCCCTAGAAAACTTGTAGGCCACCTCTGAAGACAGGCAGAGCTTAGGAGGGGCTTGATTGACTAGGGCCACACACCAGGAACAAGCAGAGGTAGAGGGACAACGTGCTTCCAGGGGGTCAGTTTTCTCCCCTCCTCAGCCCACACCCCAGGTAAGAAGCTCAGTCTGGCTTGTTTGATGCTTTTAATATCATTATTTGTGTTACACGATACACAACCAAGGATGATGGTCAATACTGCGATGGAAATGTTAAAAAAAATATTATACACGGCTCATGTCTTCCACACACCTTCTTGGAAATAAATTAGTGAGCTCGGAGAAACCTGGCTGGGTGGCAGCCACAGCCGAGGGTGGGGGAGTGTTAAGGCAGTATCTACAAGGGGTGGGGGGAGCAGGGGCAAGCTAAGGCCCTGGCTCTTCCCCTTCAACTTCCAGACAGGGAGGGAGGGCACCTTGGACTCTCCTTGGACACAGAAGCTGCTGGCTGCCAGCTTCTTATCCCTACCCGCTGTGTATGTACTATCTCAGTCTAAAGCCCTTGCTTGCTAATGAACTAGCCTGTCCCCTGGGGAGGGCGCTTTCCCGGATGGGACAGAATCCCACAGTTGGGCAGCAGCAGAGGCAGCAGTCTAAAAGAGGAGGTACCCATGTTCTAGCAGGTGAGCCAAAGAGCCCAGTGGGGTGGGGGCCGTAGGAGTTCTAGTTCTGGGGCCCAGACGATGGGTGGTGGGGATGCTAACCAGGTTGGGAGAGGGGGCCACTATGGGCCTCATGGCCCCGGCAGATACTTTCTCCGACTTGCCTCCTTTGGCATTTTCTCATTATCTAGTTAGGATCTCTGCTCTAGGGGAGGTAAGCTGGGCTGGAGGTGTGGGGAGTGGAGAGCTACACTCTGAAACTTTGGAGTGGCAGCCCCTGCGTGGCGTAGGAGAGGTGCTCTCCTTCCTAAGCCAACAGCCCCACTCCTCCCTCTCACCACGTCCACTCTAGCTCCCACCTCCCAGGACTGGCACCCAGAGCCTGGTGTGTGCGTAGTAGCCATGACAGCGGAAACACCAGCTGTCTGGGGTGTCAGCAGGAGGCCTGGAGACCACACTTTGGCTGCTTTGGCTAGGTGAGAGGAGGCTGGTAGGGCATAGACTTAGCAGTCTGAGGCTGGCTGTGTTTCCAGTTGTCTCCACACCAGGGCAGGTCTAAGTCTAACCGCCCAGCCAGCGGAGAGCCACCATCTCCTCTTCACTGAGTTCCATCCTCAGCTTTCCTTCCCCAGATCAGCAGGAGCAGCAGAAACAACAGTATGCATGACACCCTGGACAGCTTCTCTCTCTCTCTCTCTCTCTCTCTCTCTCTCTCTCACACACACACACACACACACACACACACTTTTCTGAACAAATTCACATGTGCTCCCATGTCTACACAGGCACACACTACAGGGCACCTCCTAGGTGCCCTCAAAGACAGATCTCATGGCTCTCTGCAGAAATTCCTTCAGATATGAAAAGACTGTCACTAATGTCAGCTATTTTTATTTTTCAGTTGAGAGAACTGAAGCCCTAGAGAAGCCTGGGAATTGCTTAAGAGTTCAGGGAGAGGGATCAGAATCCAGGCTTCTGACTGCCAGGCTATGCCTTCAGCTCACAGAATTCCCGAGCAGAGCTGCCTTTCACACAGTAAACAGATCAGAGCCATTTCCCCACCACAGACACTCGCCAGGTTGACCTGGACAGACAGGTTCAACCAACACACAGACACACAGACACACAGACACACAGACACACACACACACACACACACACACACACACTACCACATGCACACAGCCACTTGGTGCATTGTATTCTCGTAAGCTTGCTCTTGAAGAGCCTTTCTGGAAGACAGCCTCCTGGACCTTGGGCTAACGTGAAATGGGAACAGGGCACTCACTGGAGGCCAGCCTTATCTCCTGCTTCCAGCCTGGAACCAATAACCAGAAGACTGGGGGAGGGGAGAGAGACGGGCAGAGAGACAGATGCATTGGTTAGCAGCACTTGAGAACAGGTCATATCATCCCCAAACCTGGCCTCTCTCTAAGGCCCACCTTACCCTCCCAGTCCTCAGACAGCAGGAAGCAGGGAAATGTGACGGAGGAAGGGAGAAGGCAGTGATCTAATGCAAGTATTCCTTTGGGCAGCTTTGCCTGGCTTCCCATCTGGAGATGAGGGGGAAACACAAATAGGTACACGGGCTGGCACCGTGTTTGGGGAGAGGCGCTCTGAGGTGTTGAGAATTGTCCCCATTGCGTGGGACCTTTTCTTCTCCAACCCCTTCCCTTCCTTTCCAGGCTGGGGTTGGGAAATTCATGGCTTCGCTGGCATGGGGCCAAACCCCTGGCCTTGTGATCCCTTCACCCGACTGCTTACAGTTGGCCTCCTGGCCTTTAGTGCTGCCCCCTGACTGCAGCTCTGGGGAGAGGTGGCAGGGTGCTTGGGTGTGGTCTCCCCCAAGTAACTGAACAAACAGCATCCCCCCTCCTCAGCCCCGGGGCTGGAGACAGACCCGGTTTTGGTTTCTCCGGCTCCATGAACACACAGAGTACACGTCCTACCATAGGAGGAAGCAATGACTGTTACGAGGTTGGCGGCTGTAAGGAGCTCGGGGCTGTAAGGGGGACTGGTGGGCCAGCTAGGTTTAGGGGTCGGCCCCTGTCGCTTCCCACCTGGCCCGACTCGGCCCCGCCCCGTGCGCCGCGGCGACTCCGCCCGCTACTGAATATGGCAGGCGGTGGAGGAAGTGGCCTGGCAGCACATGCAGGTGGGGTTCACGGACTTGGGGGGGATGAGATCTAGGTCCTCGTCGTCGGGGATCTCGTCTAACCGGTAGCCATCCTTCAGCAGCTGGATGTTCAAATCTTGGTTGATCTGCTGTAGAAAAGTTTCGAGTCAGTTGGAAGGGCAAAACCCTGGGCTGGGGCCGCCGCTGCCACCCGGAGGCCACCATGACAGCCCCTTCTCATCTCAGATTTATTTCAAATTGCGGCGTGATTTGCGTCTCATTTCCTCCAGGCAAGTCTTCCTAAGGTGCGGGCCCTCAACAGCCAGCCGCCCCACCACCAGTCGAAGGTCAACTTCTCCCGTCTACGCTGGCCCTGTTCGGGATTTGCCCGATTTCAGGTCCACTCCTGCAAGGTGGTGCATGCATTTCACACCTGTTCTGCTTTGCAGCTCCGCTTTAATAACTCCAGGCTCACTGCAATTCTGGGTAGTGATTTCTTCCCAAGCTTCCCGAGTCCAGGCCCCGCCTCACACGGAGCCCCACCCCCCACATGGCTCGGCCCCACCCGCCTGCCTTCGGCACCTAAAGAGCCCCAGCCTTGCTGTCTGGCTCCCGTTGTCTGTGGATGTAAGGGGTGGAGCCTCACCTCCGCAGAGGAGTAGCCAGAGGAAGAGTACCTGGACATGTCGAAGTCATCATCGCTGGCCGTGGAGAAAAGAGGAGAGGAAGTGATTCAGAAAAATTAAATAGAAAATTCTCGGCATCTTTGCCATTCCCGCCGCCCCACAACAGTATGATTTAAATAATCCATGCTTATTATGCAAATATATGTTTGCAAAGACAGGTTTCCCAGTATGACCTTTAAATAAAGTGACTTCTTAAATCCTTCTGGATAGAACTGCTACCAATCTCTTTCTTTCCTCCTCGTCCTCTGTTTTTGTTTTGTTTTAACTTTTTTCTTCCTAGATTGAAATCATCCTGTTTGAATTTTCTCTAAGTCTCTGGCTAGCCAGATGCTCCCCTGAAACAGGGTTCTTCTCACTCTGTCCTCTCTACGCCCATTCCAAAAACAAAAAAACAAAAAAAAACCCAACCAAAAACCAAAAACCCCACCCCCTTGGGAAATTTCACCCATGGAGATTCCTGGCTGAAGACCATCCCACTCTGGCAAGATGGCACGTGTGGCTGTACAACCCCATCTGTGCGCACATAGGATCATGGCCTTGCCCAGCTGCCCCCAGACCCCATACACACCTGTCTGTGTCAAGAGCTACCAGTGGCTTCTCATCAGGGCTCTGGTCAAGCGAGGAGTAGCCTTTATTAGGGACAACCAGCCTGGGTAAAGAATTGGGGAGTTGGAGTGCCAGCTGGAGCATACAAACATGGCAGAGGATTTGATGGGGTCCCGTCCCCTTATTTTCCTTCCCCTCCCCCTGGATTCCCTGGAGGAGGGAGAGACTGGAGACCAGGTGTTGGCTGGTAGGGGCTCAGTGGGGCAGAAGGATGCCTACCTCGTCCGGGCCATGACATTGTTCTTCTTGGGTTGCTGGTTGACAGGGCTGCCCATGCTGCCATTCTTCAGGGATCCCTTCCGGGCCAGCTCCCGCTGCTTCTCTGCAGGAGAAAATGGGAAAGAAGCTGTGTCCTGCCCCAGGTCTACCAGGCCTTGCTGCCTGGCTGGTGGCCTGCTCCGGGCCTTTCTCGTACACATTTCCTTCTCCACCTGGCAGAGAGCCCATGGCCCTCCAGGCACCTGATGCTTATGGACATACACTTGACCTTGCATAACTTGAGGCTGAGAGCATTGGATGAAGAGAGGAGGCTGAGTCCTGCTTTGGGACCACAGTTCCTGTGTTAGGCAGTCAGTGTGTGCTTGGTATCTAGGAAAAGCTAGAGAGGAGATGTGCACAGATGGCTAGAGCCACCAGGGAGGCCTTTCTGGAGCGAGAAGGAAAGTATGACCCAGGCAGTGGTGGCGCATGTCTTTAATCCCAGCACCCAGAGGCAGGTGCAGATGGTTCTCTGAGTTCAAGGCCAGCCTGGTCTACAGAATGAGCTCCAGGACAGCCAGGGTGACACAGAGAAACCCTTTTTCAAGTCCCCACCCCCCGAAGAAGGAAAGCATGTACGAAAACAAATCAAGAAGTGAACATAACTGTGGATGGACTAGAGCAGTGAAGTTGGGAAAGTAACCAATTGTTAGGTAATTTTCATCCAACAAGCACCAGACTCGCCAGTTATGTACCAAGTACCCTAGCACAGGGACGGAAGGCTCCCAATGGCTATGAGCTCAGGCCTCACAGAGACACACCCCCATCGCAGAGAACAAAACAGCAAACCTCAGAGCACACAAGCCTTAACTGTGGGACCAAGGCGTTTGGGATTAAAGCAGATGGAAAGGAGTTCGCTGAGGGTCTCAGAGTGGTGGGGGCAGAAAGAGGTCAGCAGTTAGGGAAGGGGCAGGAGGCTGGAGGAGCCCCTTTGGCCTCTGAACAGCCTGGTCTACAGAGTGAGTTCCTGGACAGTCTGGGCTATACAGAAAAACCCTGCCACAATAAGCAAAACAAAACAAACAAAACAACAACAAAATATATAAATAAATTTTAAAAAAAAGCAAGAGCATAAGGATGGGAGGGCCATTACAGCACCCACGACTCACTTGAATTGTTCTCTGATTCCCACACCTCTGAAGCTCTCACGCCCTACTCCCTGACAGACTGTCTTTGCCTCTTCTTCTACACGGGATTTTTTCCAACCTCTCCAGCAGGCAGTACCGCCATTACTATATCCAGCCTCTAGAGGGTGCAATTTGCCATAAAGTTCTTGATTTTCTTTATTGCAAGTGAGACAGGTTGTGAATTTTCATGAGCTTTGGTGGTAATATAATGGTGAAGGAAAAAAGATGCTATTTTAAAAGCATGCTAAGTTTGCTTGAAATCATGAAAAAAGATGAAGACAATAAGCTGGCAAGGCTCAGACTACGGACTACTATGCAACCATTTAAAAGAACGAAGTCATTCTCCATAGGGGCTCCGAGACATTATGTAGAGGGAGGCAACACGGCTCACAAAATGTGTACAATGCAATGCCATTTGTGCTGAAGTACAAAGTGAAGCTCTGAGAACCTGGAATGGTTGCCTCTGCAGAGAATAGAGAACTTATATGCACTTAAAATACTTTCACTGTTGCATTAAACAACAGCAAACAAAACTGGCTGTACTCTGAATAGAACGTCCTAGGAAGACAAGCAATTCCACTGAGAGAACTGCTGTTCTACTTAGAAATCGGCCTGGATGTGGTCTAAAAGCAAAGAAGTAATGTCTGTTTTAGTTGTATTTTTTGAATAGTCTAAAAGAATAGGCCTTGTGGAAAGGAATCCTGGCTGCTGTTAAAGAGATAAGAGGCTCAGTCCTAACTGAGGAAGGTCCCAAGCTTTGGTGGCAGCTGGAGCCTGAGGTCTGAGAAAGACGGCTGGAAGGACAGAGAACTGAGGACAGCCATGCCCTGCATCCAGTCTCTCGTGTGTGACAGGCTATACTTTTTCCTCAGGAAGTCAAATTTTCAGTGGAAGTCTGCCATCTGTAGTAGCCTTGGGTCAGTGAGATTTTGGTCCACAAAGGGGAGGGGCAGTGTTCGGAAGAGAGGGGTAAGAACTGCAGCGAGGGGAGCTATGGGCGCTGTGGGAGCCGGGTGACTCCGAAGGAGGACGTGGAACCTACCCCAAGAGAAAGGTGATGAAATATCTGGGAAAGAGTGGGTTCTGAGGTTCACTAAGAAAAGACAATCTCCCCAGACAGAAGCTACCCAGGCCCCTCAAACATAGCAGCAGCTCTATCTTGGGAGGCAGGTTCCTCCTGGGTGGCCCTTCTGCGTCCTGTCCTGGGGTTCCATGCTTTACACTTGCAGCCACCCCTTGAACACCTGGGGCCTCTAGCCTCAGAGCCCTCTCCGGAGTTTCAGGACCCTGCTGCGAACATCACTGCCTTCTTTGTCTTGAAAGACATAAGGTGCCTGGGAGTGCCAGTGACTTACTTGGAGGTTTAGTCTTGGAACCATCTAGCCTGAGATACTTTAATTGTAGCACCTTGCTGTAAACTCAGCCCGAGAGCATCTTGTTCACTTCCCACATCGCCCTCCTCCCCCAGACACACTCACCCAGCTTCACTTGGAGCGGGGATGGTTTGTAATTCATGGCTACTGACTCACCCTCCCGGGCATCACAGTCTCCGTCTGAGATAGAGGTGGCGGCTGGGTCCTGTGGGAGAGAAGGCAGAGAGACAGGGAACTATTAACATGTGATCTGGGGGCGGGGATTGCCCTGAACCCCGAAGCAAACCTTCTCAGCTGCCCTCTGGGTTTCAGCAGCAGGCCAGTCTCCAGGGAGAGAGAGGTAGACTCATTTTCTACAACCTTAGTAAAAAAGCCAGGATGTACGTCCTTCCCACACACAGCTGCACCAGAAAGCCCTCCCTTCCCCAAACCCCAGGACTTCCTCTACAAGTTCACCTACAAGCTGTCTGGCTCGCAGGCTTTTCAACATATTTCTTAGGAAAAGGGTCAGTCTAGGTCCCTCTGGCTTAAGGGTAGATTAGGTCAGAGCAGGTCTTCTCTGAGAGGGCCCTTCTTTGTCTGTTTCCTCTTTGCAGGATCCAGACAACTGACCAATTCAGGTAAGACCTCAAGACTTGAGCCACTGACTAAGGAATAAGTCCTTCTGAAGTTCCCAGATGAGACCTACGGAGTGTGCCCTGGGGGCTGGCTGGGGATAGTGGATGAGAAAACAAATCAGCAGGTGGCCACATAGTTTTGTGCTGCCCTGAAAGCAGAACACAGGCTGCTGATGGCGAGGTAGGCAAGCACCCACTCTGGGTGTACAGCCGTTGCAATTGCCTTACATGAGATCTTACTAGCCTCCATGTCTGGACACACCCTGTGCTGCCCAAAGTCCTTAGCCATCTCTCCAAAGTGCCCTCCCTCTTACATGGGACTCAAGGCTCTGGCCCATCCTGTCTCATGTCATCTATATACAGAGAAGTTGATGACCAACTTCTGTTTCCATAGGGGAGATTTAAGATTTTATTCAGGTTAAGCAGTACTTGCATCGAGATTTGAGATGTTTCATTTAACAATCATTTCTCTATTATAGGCAATCTGAGTTTTGTTGTAATTTTTTTCTGGAACACACAAAGATGTTATCAATATTTTTTCATAATTGTCTGATTCATAATGGTCAAATTCACAATTTTAGAGGAAGCTAAAGATGAGCTTCTCTTGGGATGGCCAACTCTTATTTTAAAATGCTTTTATTCCCAGGCCTGTAGACGTGGCTCAGTGGGTAAGAGCATTTGCTCTTGCAGAGGATCTGGATTTGATTTCACCCACATGGAGGTTTACAACCTTCTGATCCCTCTGCTGACCTCTATGGCACAAAGCACACATGTAGTGTATACACATACATGTAGGTAAAATACCCACACAAGTAAAATCAAATAAATCTAAAAATGTTTTTATTCTTTGAGAATTTTATACAATGTATTTTGATCATATTCATCCCTACTCCTGCCAGATCTTCCCTTACCTCACCCCTCCCTCAACTTTGTGGTACCTGTCTTTCTTTCTTTCTTTCTTTCTTTCTTTCTTTCTTTCTTTTTTCCTCCTTCCTTCCTTCCTTCCTTTCTCTTTCTTTTTTAAGATTTATTTATTATGCATACAGTGTTCTGCCTGCATGTATGCCTACAGTGAGTCACCATGTGGGTGCTGGGAATTGAACTCAGGACCACTGGAAGAGCAGCCAGTGCTCTTAACCTCTGAGCTATCTCTTCAGCCCCATTTCCTTTCTTTTTTAATAACCCAGACATTCAATTTGTGCTGACCTTCTACTTTTGGGTGTGGGGCTGTCCACTGGAGCACAGTTGACCCATCAACAGCCACAGTCTTAAAAGAAAAGTGACTCTTTCTCCCCTTCCCAGAAGCCATAAGCAGCTTATGCACCCCACTTTAGGGGTGCAGTATCAAAAGCCCTCTCTACTCCCGCTAGACTATCAATGGGCTTGATCTGTGCAGACTTGTGCAGGTAACCACTGCTGCTGTGACTTCACGAGTCTGGAAGACACTGTTTTGATCTGGTCCTCCCTGATTTTTGGCTCTTATAATCTTTCTGTTCCCTCTTCCTCAATGGCCCTTGAACATTGTGGGGCTGTGATAAAGGGTTCCATTTGTGGCCACTGACACTTATTCTCTGCACTTTGGCTGATTGTGAGTTTCTGAATTACCAGGAGGATCAATGCAATCTGGATGCTGCCATCTTTAGCCAGGAATTAGAGTGGCCAAGTTAAGGTCTGAGAACTGCAGAGGATCCATGCTGCTTGCTCTGTCCCTGAAGGCACAGAAAACAGATAGAAGGTTCCAGGACTGGCCCCAGAATCAGGTCCAGGGACCTGTGTAGCTCCTGGTGACCTGTTTAAAATGAAGTGAGGTCTGGAGGAGTGGTTTAGTGGCTGAAGGGTTTGCTGTGCAAGCATGAGGACCTGGGTTCAAATCCCCAGAACTCGGGAAAAGCTGGGAGCATTGAGTGTCTGCAGTCCCAGGGTTCCTACAGAGTGAGATGGAGGCAGAGACAGGAGACTCTCTAGGAGCTCACAGTCTAGCTGGCCTGCTATGTGCAGCAGTGAAAATGAAAGGCAGTAGAATGCCAGGACTGATGCTCTGACCTTTGCATACATGCCAAGACGTGAGCACATCTGCTCTCACACACACGAGTGCATGCACACAAGCACATCATATATGCATGAAAACAAAATAAAAATGGGCAGTGGGCATGATTACTGATTTGTTACTACTGTGTGAAAGAAGAATCTAGATGTTTGGGAGGGAGATCTTGACCCGTCTGTTCCTGGGTGGGCTAAGTTGCCACGGAGGCTTTCAAGTTCCTAAGGGAAGAGCCTGGACCTCTGCCTCAGTCCCCACCCCTTAGCCATGGGCAAGGTGAGAGGGTGACAGGAGCCCTGGAGCAGGTAGGGTACAGCAGCACCCACATCTCAGAAGTGCTTGCATTTCAGATAACTTCCCAGGTGGCAAACCTTCCCAATCCTCATCCTCCTCGCTCTGCAGAGCTCCTTGGGACACTCCTTTCAAACTGCACTTTGGAAAAGCTGGCCTGCAGTGGCCCTTATCTCGGTTGCTACCCATAGAGGATACAGAGACTTGATGGCTGGACACCGCCATTACTCTAAGGCTGTAGGGTGAGCTCACCCCCCAGACATCCAGAGGGAGGAATTTTCAGGTGAAAAACCCTGTAAACCTGCAGGTGTTACCATGCCAGGGAAGATATGGCCCATTTCTAGGCTCCCTGATCACAGTCCTTCACTTTTCTGTAATCTTTGTCAGGAAGGACACAGCACACACATCCATTGGAACTGGCTTCCTCAGGAAGCTATGCTCCCATGGTCTGTCTTTTGCCTCTGATCATTTCTGTGTCTATCCACACCTCTTTGTCTTCTCAGCAGGGCCCCACCCTCCTGACTCCATTTTCTCCTTGAAGAAACTTGATGCCTCCTGCAGTCTAGATTGACACTTTATGCTGATGGCTTCTAAATGAGATCTTTTAATCGCGTACCTGTTCCTTGACCCTCTCTCCTCGACCTGACACATGAGTGTTTGGTCTCACTGTGTTTTCCCTGAGGTTGATTTTAGAGAACACAAACCCCTAGGCAACTGAGGCCAAGGCATAGTACCCCAGCGCAGAGAGGTGCATCAATTTCTTCTCTGAGGTTGCAGGTATCAGAGGTAATATGTGAGGCAGAAAACATAGGCTGAGGACTGGGGAGCTGTTGAGCAACTCTGGTTGGTGACCCCATCATGGCTCTCAAGGCCCACGGGCAGTTCCTACTAGTATTTGATCCTGAGTGAAGCCATAGGATCAAAGCCTTGGGCTGAGAGGCTCCATGCCAAACTCCCCTACTCCAGCAGTGCCTCTGTCACTGTCCACGGTAGAAGGCCATTTAAGCGGCAACTACAAAGGTCTCTGGCACGGTGCCATCAAACGCTGGCGACTTTGAGTGTCTTCTCTGAGAAATGCAGGCAGTGCACCATGACCACTGCATAGAGATTAAATGTAAAATATTCATGAACAGTAGTAGAGAAGACTCAGGCAGAAGGAAGCGTCTGGCTCCAAGAATCAGAGAGAATTTAAAATGCCCCCTAAGGACTTCAGACAGGCGTTAGCTAGATCCGGGAACTAGAGTGGGGATTAACAAGATTATTAATAAACACTCAGCAGAGACAGACCTGGAAATGCATCTCTAACAGCAATCCATGTCTCTACAACCATTCAAACAAATCCTCCAAAGGCTGAAGAGAAGATTAATAGCTCGGGCTATAGGCTAATGACCAGCACAACATCAACACAGTCAGAGGAAGCAAAGGAGCCAGAAGCATCCTTAGAGTAAGTGTGGTCCAGCAATTTTCATTAGCCCGTATTCCCCGCACCCTGTGCTTTGGGTGGGGCTGGAATGTAAGTGGGGCTTACATGTGTAGGAATGGAAGGGATCACGGTGATTTACTTCTATATTGACCTTTTGCAAAATTTGAGCTAGCAGAATCATTTTGTTGCTTAAGAAAAACCCACAAACTACAACCCTGGGAGATGGCTCAGTAGGTGAAGATACATACCACTGAGGCTGACAATCCCTGGGATACACATGGTGGAAGGCGAGAACCAACACCTGCAAGCTGTTCTCTGACCTCCACATGTAAATAAATAAAATAAAAATAAAATATTAAAAGTTCATTGATTTAATCCAATCTAGTCTTTTAAAATTCTTCATGTTCAAAAAACAATGCTAGTGAGATCCTGGGTACCTATCTGTGCACATGTGTTTATGAGGGTGCATTCACTTATGCCTGTGTGCATAGAGAGGCTGAAGTGCATAGTCCATGCTGAGTGGCGGTTTCTACCACTTTATCACTGAATCTGGAGTTCTACAATTAGGCTAGATTGGCTGGTCATTGAGCCCAGAGATCTGCCTGTCTTCACCACTTTGTTTCCCCAGCACTGGGGTTACAGGAACACACGGTCACATCCAGCTTTTACATGGATGCTGGGATTTGAACTCAGGTACATACTCTGGCATAGCAAACATTTTGCCCATGAGCCATCTCCCCACCCTCTATCAGTTCTTTGTTTCTTAAAATAAGGAAAACTGAGCTGGACATAGTAGTGTGCTCTTTTAATCTCAGCACTCAGGAGGCAGAGGCAGGCAGATTTCTGAGTTGAGACCAGGCAGCCTGATCTACAGAGCAAGTTTCAGAACAGACAGGGACACACAGAATCTTGTCTCAAAAAACAAACAAACAAACAAACAAAACAAAAAAAATCCAAACCAAAGCCAAAAAAAATGAAACAAACAAACAAACTGGGCTGGGGAGATGGCTCAGCATTAAGAGCACAGCTGTTCTAGAGGACCTGAGTTCAGTTGCTAGCATCCACATTAGGCAGATCCAAGGATTCAATACCTTTTTCTTTCTCCATCCCACAATAAATGAGCAAATAAAGGACACCTGGGCCCTCAGAGCAGCTGAGGGAACCAACGGCCTTGCTCAAAAGGAAGATGCTAAGGAGAGACTGACCGAGACTGGGAACAAAGCCTCCACATGTGTATCACCTCTCTGGGGTTGTACTAACTCTTCAAGGCTCTCAGCTGCCTGACCTGGTCACAGCTGGGGTAGCACAGCAAATAAAAATGTATACTGCGACCCAAGAGACCTATGGTGATCTGAATAGATGTGGACAAGCAAACAGTGGGCACGAAGGAAGAAACTCTGTCTTCAAGGCTGGAGGGAGTGCTGTCCTGGATGATCATCTATAGCCTGCTCCGGAAGAACTCTGGATGGAAAAGAAAAGCATAAGAGACCTGTGCTGTAGTTTCTTGTGCAGGTTCATGAGCCCCTGAAACTCACAAGCACCCAGTAGACAGTGTGGCTGCCTCCTGGATATTCACACTCTATCCCTCTTCCACCGGGAAAAGGCTTGGGTGCTGTGACTATACTCTCAGTGCCAAGGGGATATCTGATGAAGGGAAGACGACCCACCCAATCCCACCCTTTGTCACACGGACTGACACAGAGATTGTGGTGGCAAGAGGTAGAGGCTGTGGGGCTAGTGAGATGGTTTAGCAGGAAAGTGCTAGCCAAGAAATTCTGACAACCTGAGTTCAAATCTTGGAGCCCACAGTGGAAGGAGAAGGAGAGAATCATCTACCAAAACTTGTCCTCTGACTTCCACATGAATACTATAGCATATACGTACTCTCTTTGTGTCTGTCTGTCTGTCTCTCTCTGTCTCTCTGTCTCTCTCTGTCTGTCTCTCTCTCTCTCTCTCTCTCTCTCACACACACACACACACACACACAGAACAAGACTCTGGAGGCACTACCCCTGGGCTTAGATCCCAGCTCAGCATTTACTAGTGGTATAATTTGATTTCTTCAAGACGTGTGAGGATTTACCAATCACTGCAGTAAATGCTGAGCACCACACCTGCATTAACTATAATGATGTTATCTGTAAAGCTCAGCGTGCTCTGGGAGTGTCTAGGAGCTCACGGCCAAAGCTCTGGCACCCCTCAGGTTGAGATGTGGCTTATGTGTGGAAGCCTCCATGGGAAGGACTGACTCCACAGGGTTGGGGAAGGCCTGAGTAGGGAGCACTCTGCCTTCTCTATATTTTCCTATTCATAACAACTCTGCAGGCATCATAGAGATAAACAGAAAATAGGCCCATCTTCAAGTGTCCGATAATTACCAATCAAGGTAAAAATGTGCATAAAAAGTAGAAGGTTTGGGTGTGGTGGCCTACGCCTTTAACCCCAGCACTGTGGAGGCAGAGCAGGCGGATATCTATGAGCTCCAGGGCAGTCTTGTCTACACAGGAAATTCCAGGCCAACCAGGACTACATAATGAGACCTTGCCTCAAACAGGCATAAAGAATAGGACAAAGGGCGAAATGGGAGTGACGTCAAAATACCAGCTTGGCAGTTCCTGGGACGAGCATTTAGGAACATTTGCGGAAGTTCAGAGCCTGCAGCTGGCAAGACGCTTTCCAGGAAGTCACTTCTGCGACAGCTGAATCCTAGAGGGCAGAAGTGAGGACAGTGGCTCAGATCACAGTGGAAGGTGGGTCTTGAGTTGGATTTTTTTTCTTAGACAACAATGGGGAAAACAAAACTTAAGCACAGGAGCAACATGGACATACTTGACATGAAGAACCCTTTACAGCAGCTGTGTGGGAGACAGTGAGGGAATGAGACTGGAGGTAAGATGATTTGTGCAAAGGAAAGGCATCAGGACTTAAACTAAAAAGTAGAAGACATAACAATACTCTGAAGCCCAGTGTGTATGAGAAAGTGTCTATATGCCTCTAGTTTTCTGTCTGGAGTATATAGAAAAAATACTAATTACTCAGAAATGCAGGAGAGGGAGGGCACTGCCAGGGAAAACCAGGTTAGCTAATTTGGAGATACATTGTGTTTGGGGATATCTTTTGGGAAACATGATATCACTAGTCAGTAGGATTTGGGGTTTGGGAACTGGGGAGAAAGGCTGGTCATGACTGAGGCTTAAGGGAGGATAAATCTTCCTAGAGAGAATGGACAGAATGGAAAAGCTAAGAATCCAAGATGGAGCCTTAAGGAGCAGACAACCTCGGGAACATGTGGAAGAGACTGAGTTGGGGCAGCGAGATGAGGCAGGAATACAGTGGGGAGCTGTAAACTTTCAAGTGTCCCAAAGAGAAGCTTGATCCACAAGATACAGACAAAATTTAGAAACAAGGATGTCCAGGCACCCCTGGACACAGTTTCAGCTGAAGGACAGGAGCAGAGATCATGTTACAAGGGAGGAAACAGGGAAGTTGAGGCAATGGGTAGAATATATTTCAAGGAGCTGCATGGGAGAAGGAAGAGACAAGAATGGATGACAGCCTCAGAAAACGTCAAAGTTGTAGGACTTCTCTAGGGCTGGGGGACACATGGCCACTGTCCCACACTAAAAGGAATGGGGCATAAGAGGCATAAGAGGTTGTAATGGGGCATAGTGAGGAGTCTGGAGTAGACAGAGCCAGACCAGAAGAGAGAAGCTCTTTACAGAAAGGCCAAGGAAGTGCTGATGTAGGGGGATGCAGATAATTGGGTCAGAAAGGTCAGTGGAAAGTTGAGGGAGTTCATTCCAAAGGCCTTGCCTGGCACAGGAAGAGGCGAGCACCAAGAGGATGCTGGTGGCTGGTCAGAAAGGACGGTCTGCGGACACTTCACCTTTGAGTGGTGTAATCCAGCCTCGGGGATGAAAGGCGCTCTCCGAGGTGCTGAACAATGCTGCTTCTGTTTTGTGAACTGAGCCTCGTTGGTTCTGGTAGAGGAAGTATTCAACCTCTGTCTTCATTTCCAAGCAGCAGTTCTCAGGAAGAGGGGAACTGAGATGGACTTCGAATGAGGAGTGAAGTAAGATGTACATAGCAACATCATCTGAACTTTCTTCACAGCACATAATGAATTTTCCTCTAGTTTTAGGGGAAGCTGGAGAAGGAGGTTCTGAGTTGGGAATGCTAAATAGCCACCTCTGGAATAGAGTCATGTATCTCTGGGTGACATCAGAAAGGAAGAAAGACAAACTATCAGGACGTTGGGGTCAGCAAAGATAATGCTGATAAAAAATAGAAAAGCAGGGGAGGCCCTGGCTCAGGTCACTCTCTGATAAGGAGGTATATTGTGGGAAATGACCAGCTCGGTGATTGTCACAATTTTTTCAGAGAGCAGTTCAACAGTCACCTGTGGCTTTAGCACTCTTGTTCAGTTCTACACACCTGTCCACTCAGACAACCCTTGGCAGTGGGTAGAATTAGAAATATTAAGATATGTTAGGCGGGAGAGTTAGCAAAAACACATTAGCTTCACTGGGTGTCCATCACTAGGGAGATGCCTTCTCTTGTTCTTGTACCCCATCTCCCCTCCAGAGCTAAGCAACCGGCTGGGACTTCTATCTTTCTGGGACATAGGAAGGACTTTAGGGATCCCATTTATAGGGAAAGACTTTTCATGGGTTAAGGTCTTTGAAGAAGAGCTGGAGGAGAAACCAGGGAAACACAAGGAAGATGATTTCTAATGTTGGGGGCTCTTACAAAGATGAGGGGAACAGAAAGGCTGGAGGCTTATAAAACCTGAGTCTGGGGTGAGGGCAGAATCCCTAGCTCAGGGAGGCTTCTCTTACTAATTTAAGTCCCCACTCTCCTGAGTTTTTCCTCTAATAAAACACTCAGTTCAAACAAAAATTAATACATTGTTCACACTCTTCAGTTGTGGGTTACACACTGGCAGGGGAATGCAGAAGGAAGTCAATACTACACATGTGCAGAGCACCTGGGGGTAAGGACACACATACACTCATGCACACATGCATATATGCATGCTCACAGGCACTCACAAAGGATTCTCATGTTAGATCTGAGGTCTAGGAACTCAGGTTGGTCATGGAAGTAAGAAGTGGGCTTTTTTTGTTTTGTTTTGTTTTTGAGACAGGGTTTCTCTGTGTAGCTTTGGAGCCTAACCTGGAACTAGCTCTGTAGACCATACTGGCCTCAAACTCACAGAGATCCTTCTGAGCATGGGGATTAAAAGCATGCACCACCATGCCTAGCTTTTAATTTAATTTAATTTTTTTTGAGACAGGTTCTCAAAGAAAACCTAGGTAGTTCTAACTTGGTATTGCTTGGTATTTCTGTGTATCCCAACCTGGTTTCAAATACCTAATAATCACCCTGCTTCAGCCTTCCAAGTACTGAGACTACAGGCATGTGCCACCATACAGACTGTCTCTTTCAACTGCCTAGTTCACTACCAAACACAAGCACCAGTAAACCGTGGTATCTTTAAGAAATACTTTAAAATTACACACACACACACACACACACACACACACACACACACACGTATGTGTATGCGCCAGCATGCTCAGGTCAGAGGATGACTTGCAGGAGTCAGTTCCTTCCTTATGGGTCCCAGGGATTGAACTCAGGTCATCCAGCTTGGTACCAGCAAGTACCTGTCCCAGCTGAGCAATCTTGTAGGCCCAGGACTTAGTATTTACGGTATCTGTCATTTGGAGCATCAAAATGGAGAGTGCTGCTGATCCCAAGCCTAAGTCTAGTAGCTGTGGCAAGTCCAAAGCAGCTTCCTCTTATAAAGTAATTAATGTGCATTTAAACTTTTCCTTCCTTTCTTCTGTCCTTCCTTCCTTCTTTCCTTATGTGGGCATGGATGTTTGGTCTGTACCTGAGTCTGTGAACCACATTTGTGCCTGATGTCTGCAGAAGCTAGAAGGAAGCATTGGATTCCCTAGGATCAGAGTTATAGACAGTTGCTGAGTCACCATGTGGGTTCTGGGAATCAAACCTGGTCCTCTGGAAGAGTAGCCAGTGCTTTTAAAAATCAGTGAGTCATCTCTCTAGGTCCCAATGCTTAGTTTTTAAAAATTGCATTTATCCCACCACTTTGATACAATATCTATTACCAGTCTAGCATACTGGTCTTTTGTGTACACTACAGCTCATAGCTCTCTGGAGTTTCTTCTTCTCTTCAAGCTGGAAGAGGGCACAGGATAGGCTGCTTCTGTGTAGTCCCACCTCTCTGGATATATTCTTGGATCAGACAGAGCCAGCCAGTTTCCTCGAGAACTGTGAAGTGGGATTAATGGGGAATACCTGTGGACAGGGACATACAGCAAAGCCCGTGTGAAGGGGAGACGGAAAGGGCTCCCAGGCCAGGCTCTGCTTCCACAGCTGCCTTACCCTTGAGCACTTCATGGCAAAACCATAGTGTTGGGGTGAGGGGTATTGCTTTGTGGTAGAGCACTTAGCAGGCACAAAATCCTGGGTTCAACTCCCAATACCACAAATAGAAGGAGGAAAAGGAAAGTCCTAAAGAAATTCTACTGTCTTTATAGACTGGTCTCTGGTTCTGGGTAAACTAGCTTCAGTTGAATTTTGTTTCTATAACCAAAAAGCACAAACTAACACACATGTATAGCACATTTAAAGAAAAGCAAGATGGGCTGGATTGCTCAGTGGTTAAGCATGTTTGCTGTTCTTGCAGAAGACCAGAGTTTGGTTCCCAGCACCCACATTCATTGGTGACTCACGAATGTCTGTAACTCCAGCTCCTGTGGATCCAACACCTCTTCCAGCCTGTACAGGTACATGCATGGCCATGCAGTACACGTTTTTAAAAAAAACTAAAAAGAAAAGCACATGGTATGTTCTATTCTGATTGCCGTTGTTACTATTGTTTTATTGAGACAGGCTGGCACTAAACTCAAACTTCTACCTCAGTTTCCAGCAGCAGCACTGTGCCAGGTCTATTCTGTATTTTATTTTATTTTATTTTGGTTATTCGTTTATTGAGACAGGCTATTTCTATGTAGCTTAGACTAGCCTGAGCTGTAGCCCAGGCTTGCCTCAAACTCATGATCCACCTATGTCTTCCTACAGCATGCTGGGATTACTGGCATGTATTGCTACACCTGGCCTATTTGGTATTTTAAACAATTAGTATCAGAGGGCTGGAGAGATGGTCCTGTGGGTGAAGTTCTTGCTGTGCAGGTATGAGGACCTAAGGTTGGATCCCCAGTACCCATATGAAAAGCAAGGCATGCGGCACATCCTGTAACTGAGTCCTGGGAAGGGAAGAAGGGTTCTGGGGGATTTTCTGGTCAAACAGTGAGCTCCAGGTTCAGTGAGAGTGAACGCTGTCTCAGAAATATGGTAATGAGTGACAGAAGACACCTAACATCAACCTCCAGCATCCACATGTTTGGTCATGCACACATGTATACTTATGTGTACACATACAGCACACACAGAGTAGTACTGCAACACAATTAATTCTCCATACTCTAGAATTGTTTTTGTTGCTATCTGGCTGTATAAGTATCCACAGGGAGAGGGACAATAACTTTGTAATCCTTTGGGTTGACATTCAGGATGTTTGCAATGTTTCACTATTGCAAATGATGCATCTGGAACCATTTCATAAATAAAGTAAAATTACAAAGTCAAAAGCATGAATGTTTTTAAGATTCTTGATATA